GTGTGTGTGTATGTATGTGTGTGTATGTATGTGTGTGTATGTATGTGTGTGTGTACGTGTGTGTGTGTAGTTTGAGATGATGAATGCCCAGCTAGAGGAGAACAAGGAGCTTGCTAACGTATACGTGTGTGTGTGTGTGTACACGTGTGTGTAGTTTGAGATGATGAATGCCCAGCTAGAGGAGAACAAGGAGCTTGCTAACGTATACGTGTGTGTGTACACGTGTGTGTGTGTACGTTTGTGTATGTGTTTGTGTATGTGTGTGTGTGTACACGTGTGTATGTGTGTGTACACGTGTGTGTGTGTAGTTTGAGATGATGAATGCCCAGCTAGAGGAGAACAAGGAGCTTGCTAACGTATACGTGTGTGTGTGTGTATGTATGTGTGTGTGTACACGTGTGTATGTGTGTGTAGTTTGAGATGATGAATGCCCAGCTAGAGGAGAACAAGGAGCTGGCTAACGTATACGTGTGTGTGTGTGTGTGTACGTGTGTGTGTGTATGTGTGTGTATGTATGTGTGTGTGTAGTTTGATATGATGAATGCCCAGCTAGAGGAGAACAAGGAGCTGGCTAATGTATACGTGTGTATGTGTGTGTAGTTTGAGATGATGAATGCCCAGCTAGAGGAGAACAAGGAGCTGGCTAACGTATACGTGTGTGTGTGTACGTGTGTGTGTGTACACGTATGTGTGTGTGTGTGTACGTGTGTGTGTATGTATGTGTGTGTATGTGTGTGTGTACGTGTGTGTACACGTGTGTGTGTGTGTAGTTTGAGATGATGAATGCCCAGCTAGAGGAGAACAAGGAGCTTGCTAACGTATACGTGTGTGTGTGTATACGTGTGTGTGTGTGTACACGTGTGTATGTATGTATGTGTGTAGTTTGAGATGATGAATGCCCAGCTAGAGGAGAACAAGGAGCTTGCTAACGTATACGTGTGTGTGTGTACACGTGTGTGTGTACACGTATGTGTATGTGTGTGTGTACGTGTGTGTTGTGTATGTATGTGTGTTTATGTATGTGTGTATGTGTACGTGTGTGTGTGTACACGTGTGTGTGTGTAGTTTGAGATGATGAATGCCCAGCTAGAGGAGAACAAGGAGCTTGCTAACGTATACGTGTGTGTGTGTACACGTGTGTGTGTACACGTATGTGTATGTGTGTGTGTACGTGTGTGTTGTGTATGTATGTGTGTTTATGTATGTGTGTATGTGTACGTGTGTGTGTGTACGTGTGTGTGTAGTTTGAGATGATGAATGCCCAGCTAGAGGAGAACAAGGAGCTTGCTAACGTATACGTGTGTGTGTGTGTACACGTGTGTGTGTGTAGTTTGAGATGATGAATGCCCAGCTAGAGGAGAACAAGGAGCTTGCTAACGTATACGTATGTGTGTGTACACGTGTGTGTACGTGTGTGTGTGTACGTGTGTGTGTGTGTACACGTGTGTGTGTGTAGTTTGAGATGATGAATGCCCAGCTAGAGGAGAACAAGGAGCTTGCTAACGTATACGTGTGTGTGTGTGTGTATGTATGTGTGTATGTGTGTGTGTGTATGTGTGTGTGTACACGTGTGTGTGTGTAGTTTGAGATGATGAATGCCCAGCTAGAGGAGAACAAGGAGCTGGCTAACGTATACGTGTGTGTGTGTACGTGTGTGTGTACACGTGTGTATGTGTGTGTACACGTGTGTGTGTAGTTTGAGATGATGAATGCCCAGCTAGAGGAGAACAAGGAGCTTGCTAACGTATACGTGTGTGTGTGTACGTGTGTGTGTGTACACGTGTACGTGTGTGTGTGTATGTGTGTGTAGTTTGAGATGATGAATGCCCAGCTAGAGGAGAACAAGGAGCTGGCTAACGTATACGTGTGTGTGTGTATATGTGTGTACGTGTGTGTGTAGTTTGAGATGATGAATGCCCAGCTAGAGGAGAACAAGGAGCTGGCTAACGTATACGTGTATGTGTGTACACGTGTGTGTATGTGTACGTGTGTGTGTGTATGTGTGTGTACGTGTGTGTGTAGTTTGAGATGATGAATGCCCAGCTAGAGGAGAACAAGGAGCTTGCTAACGTATACGTGTATGTGTACGTGTGTGTGTGTGTGTGTACGTGTGTGTGTGTAGTTTGAGATGATGAATGCCCAGCTAGAGGAGAACAAGGAGCTGGCTAACGTATACGTGTGTGTGTGTGTACGTGTGTGTGTGTACGTGTGTGTGTATGTATGTGTGTGTAGTTTGAGATGATGAATGCCCAGCTAGAGGAGAACAAGGAGCTTGCTAACGTATACGTGTGTGTGTGTACACGTGTGTGTATGTGTGTATGTGTGTGTGTGTGTAGTTTGAGATGATGAATGCCCAGCTAGAGGAGAACAAGGAGCTTGCTAACGTATACGTGTATGTGTGTATGTGTGTGTGTGTACGTGTGTGTATGTGTGTGTGTGTACACGTGTGTGTGTGTACACGTGTGTGTGTATGTGTATGTAGTTTGAGATGATGAATGCCCAGCTAGAGGAGAACAAGGAGCTTGCTAACGTATACGTGTGTGTGTGTGTACGTGTGTGTGTGTACGTGTGTGTGTGTACACGTGTGTGTATGTGTGTGTGTGTACGTGTGTGTATGTGTGTGTGTGTAGTTTGAGATGATAAATGCCCAGCTAGAGGAGAACAAGGAGCTTGCTAACGTATACGTGTGTGTGTGTATGTGTGTGTGTGTACACGTGTGTGTGTGTGTACACGTGTGTGTGTATGTGTGTGTGTGTACACGTGTGTATGTATGTGTGTGTAGTTTGAGATGATGAATGCCCAGCTAGAGGAGAACAAGGAGCTGGCTAACGTATACGTGTGTGTGTGTACACGTGTGTGTGTGTGTACACGTGTGTGTGTGTAGTTTGAGATGATGAATGCCCAGCTAGAGGAGAACAAGGAGCTTGCTAACGTATACGTGTATGTGTGTGTGTACGTGTGTGTATGTATGTGTGTGTGTAGTTTGAGATGATGAATGCCCAGCTAGAGGAGAACAAGGAGCTTGCTAACGTATACGTGTGTGTGTGTACGTGTGTGTGTGTACACGTGTGTGTATGTGTGTGTGTGTATGTGTGTGTAGTTTGAGATGATGAATGCCCAGCTAGAGGAGAACAAGGAGCTTACTAACATATACGTGTGTATGTGTGTGTATGTGTGTGTGTGTACACGTGTGTATGTATGTATGTGTGTAGTTTGAGATGATGAATGCCCAGCTAGAGGAGAACAAGGAGCTTGCTAACGTATACGTGTGTGTGTGTACGTGTGTGTGTGTGTACACGTGTGTGTATGTGTGTGTGTATGTGTGTGTAGTTTGAGATGATGAATGCCCAGCTAGAGGAGAACAAGGAGCTTGCTAACATATACGTGTGTGTGTGTACACGTGTGTGTGTGTGTGTACGTGTGTGTGTGTATGTGTGTGTAGTTTGAGATGATGAATGCCCAGCTAGAGGAGAACAAGGAGCTGGCTAACGTATACGTGTGTGTGTGTACGTGTGTGTGTATGTGTACACGTGTGTGTGTGTAGTTTGAGATGATGAATGCCCAGCTAGAGGAGAACAAGGAGCTTGCTAACGTATACGTGTGTGTGTGTACACGTGTGTGTGTGTAGTTTGAGATGATGAATGCCCAGCTAGAGGAGAACAAGGAGCTTGCTAACGTATACGTGTGTGTGTGTACGTGTGTGTGTGTACACGTGTACGTGTGTGTGTGTACACGTGTGTGTGTGTGTATGTATGTGTGTGTAGTTTGAGATGATGAATGCCCAGCTAGAGGAGAACAAGGAGCTTGCTAACGTATACGTGTGTGTGTGTACGTGTGTGTGTGTGTGTACGTGTGTGTAGTTTGAGATGATGAATGCCCAGCTAGAGGAGAACAAGGAGCTTACTAACGTATACGTGTGTATGTGTGTGTACGTGTGTGTGTACGTGTGTGTACGTGTGTGTGTGTAGTTTGAGATGATGAATGCCCAGCTAGAGGAGAACAAGGAGCTGGCTAACGTATACGTGTGTGTGTATGTGTGTGTGTGTACACGTGTGTGTGTGTAGTTTGAGATGATGAATGCCCAGCTAGAGGAGAACAAGGAGCTTGCTAACGTATACGTGTGTGTGTGTACGTGTGTGTGTGTACGTGTGTGTGTATGTGTTTGTGTATGTGTGTGTGTGTACACGTGTGTGTGTGTGTACACGTGTGTGTGTGTAGTTTGAGATGATGAATGCCCAGCTAGAGGAGAACAAGGAGCTGGCTAACGTATACGTGTGTGTGTGTATGTGTGTGTGTGTGTACACGTGTGTGTGTGTAGTTTGAGATGATGAATGCCCAGCTAGAGGAGAACAAGGAGCTTGCTAACGTATACGTGTGTGTGTGTACGTGTGTGTGTGTATGTGTGTGTGTGTACGTGTGTGTGTGTGTACACGTGTGTGTGTGTAGTTTGAGATGATGAATGCCCAGCTAGAGGAGAACAAGGAGCTTGCTAACGTATACGTGTGTGTGTGTACGTGTGTGTGTGTACACGTGTGTGTGTATGTGTGTGTGTGTGTACACGTGTGTGTGTGTGTAGTTTGAGATGATGAATGCCCAGCTAGAGGAGAACAAGGAGCTGGCTAACGTATACGTGTGTGTGTGTACGTGTGTGTGTAGTTTGAGATGATGAATGCCCAGCTAGAGGAGAACAAGGAGCTTGCTAACGTATACGTGTGTGTGTGTATGTGTGTGTGTGTGTACGTGTGTGTGTGTATGTGTGTGTATGTGTGTGTGTGTATGTATGTGTGTAGTTTGAGATGATGAATGCCCAGCTAGAGGAGAACAAGGAGCTGGCTAACGTATACGTGTGTGTATGTGTGTGTAGTTTGAGATGATGAATGCCCAGCTAGAGGAGAACAAGGAGCTGGCTAACGTATACGTGTGTGTGTGTATGTGTGTGTGTGTGTACGTGTGTGTGTGTATGTGTGTGTATGTATGTGTGTGTATGTATGTGTGTGTAGTTTGAGATGATGAATGCCCAGCTAGAGGAGAACAAGGAGCTGGCTAACGGGCGTCTCGCTGAGCTGGAGAAGCTGCAGCAGGAACTGCACGACGCCGTGGGGCTCAACGAGAAGCTCAAGGTGCAGATCGCTCACTCACTCACACTCACTGTTACACACTCACTTACACACTCACTTACACACTCACTCACTTACACATACACTCACTGTTACACTCACTGTTACACTCACTGTTACACTCACTTACACACTCACTCACTTACACATACACTCACTCATACACTCACTCACTCATACACTCACTCACTCATACACTCACTCACTCATACACTCACTCACACACTCATTCACTCACTCATACACTCACTCACTCATACACTTACTGTTACACTCACTCATACTCACTCATACACTCACTCACTCATACACTCACTCACTCATACACTCACTCATACACTCACTCATACACTCACTGTTACACTCACTCATACACTCACTCATACACTCACTCACACACTCACTCATAGACTCACTCATACACTCACTCCCTCACTCATACACTCACTCATACACTCACTCATACACTCACTCAAACACTCACTCATACACTCACTCACACATACACTCACTCACTCATACACTCACTCATACACTCACTCATACACTCACTCATACACTCACTCATACACTCACTCACTCACACACTCATTCACTCACTCATACACTCACTCACTCATACACTTACTGTTACACTCACTCATACTCACTCATACACTCACTCACTCATACACTCACTCACTCATACACTCACTCACTCATACCCTCACTCATACACTCACTACCCCTATCACTACCCCTATCACTACCCCCTATCACTACCCCTATCACTACCCCCTATCACTACCCCCTATCACTACCCCTGTCACTACCCCTATCACTACCCCTATCACAACCCCCTATCACTACCCCCTATCACTACCCCCTATCACTACCCCTATCACTACCCCTATCACTACCCCCTGTCACTACCCCCTATCACTACCCCTTCACTACCCCCTGTCACTACCCCCTACCACTACCCCATCACTACCCCCTATCACTACCCCTATCACTACCCCTATCACTACCCCTATCACTACCCCCTGTCACTACCCCCTATCACTACCCCCTATCACTACCCCTGTCACTACCCCCTATCACTATCACTACCCCTATCACTACCCCAGTCACTACCCCTATCACTACCCCCTATCACTACCCCCTATCACTACCCCCTGTCACTACCTCTATCACTACCCCTATCACTACCCCTATCACTACCCCTATCACTACCCCTATCACTACCCCCTATCACTACCCCTATCACTACCCCTATCACTACCCCTATCCCTACCCCCTGTCACTACCCCCTGTCACTACCCCCTATCACTACCCCTATCACTACCCCCTGTCACTACCCCCTATCACTACCCCCTGTCACTACCCCCTATCACTACCCCTATCACTACCACTACCCCTATCACTACCCCTATCACTACCCCTACCACTACCCCCACCACTACCCCCTATCACTACCCCCTATCACTACCCCCTATCACTACCCCTATCACTACCCCTATCACTACCCCTATCACTACCCCTACCACTACCCCTATCACTACCCCCTATCACTACCCCTATCACTACCCCTATCACTACCCCCTATCACTACCCCCTATCACTACCCCTGTCACTACCCCTATCACTACCCCTATCACTACCCCCTATCACTACCCCCTATCACTACCCCTATCACTACCCCCTATCACTACCCCTGTCACTACCCCCTATCACTACCCCTATCACTACCCCCTATCACTACCCCTATCACTACCCCTACCACTACCCCCTATCACTACCCCTATCACTACCCCTATCACTACCCCTATCACTACCCCCCATCACTACCCCTATCACTACCCCTATCACTACCCCTGTCACTACCCCATCACTACCCCTACCACTACCCCCTATCACTACCCCTATCACTACCCCTATCACTACCCCCTATCACTACCCCCTATCACTACCCCCTGTCACTACCCCCTATCACTACCCCTATCACTACCCCCTGTCACTACCCCTATCACTACCCCTATCACTACCCCTATTACTACCCCTGTCACTACCCCCTATCACTACCCCCTACCACTATCACTACCCCTATCACTACCACTATCACTACCCCCTACCACTATCACTACCCCCTATCACTACCACTATCACTACCCCTATCACTATCACTACCCCTATCACTACCACTATCACTACCCCTATCACTACCCCCTATCACTACCCCTGTCACTACCACTATCACTACCCCCTATCACTACCCCCTACCACTATCACTACCCCCTACCACTACCCCCTATCACTATCCCCCTGTCACTACTCCCTACCACGACCCCAGGTGGACCTGAAGAGTATCCCTGAGGACGTGGTGAAGGAGACCCCTGGCTACAAGTGCCTCCAGTCACAGTTCTCAGTGCTGTACGGGGAGAGTGTCCAGCTGAAGGGGCAGCTGGACGAGACACGGGGAATGTTGCTCGCCACAAAGAACACTCACCTGCGTCAGATCGAGCAGATGGAGGTGGGTGTACTGTGTGTGTACTGTGTGTGTACTGTGTGTGGATGAGACACGGGGAATGTTGCTCGCCACGAAGAACACTCACCTGCGTCAGATCGAGCAGATGGAGGTGTGTGTGTACTGTGTGTACTGTGTGTGTACTGTGTGTGGATGAGACACGGGGAATGTTGCTCGCCACGAAGAACACTCACCTGCGTCAGATCGAGCAGATGGAGGTGGGTGTACTGTGTGTGTACTGTGTACTGTGTGTACTGTGTGTGTGTACTGTGTGTGTACTGTGTGTGGATGAGACACGGGGAATGTTGCTCGCCACGAAGAACACTCACTTGCGTCAGATCGAGCAGATGGAGGTGGGTGTACTGTGTGTGTACTGTGTGTACTGTGTGTGTACTGTGTGTGTACTGTGTGTGGACGAGACACGGGGAATGTTGCTCGCCACGAAGAACACTCACCTGCGTCAGATCGAGCAGATGGAGGTGGGTGTACTGTGTGTGTGTACTGTGTGTGTACTGTGTGTGTACTGTGTGTGTACTGTGTGTGTACTGTGTGTGGACGAGACACGGGGAATGTTGCTCGCCACGAAGAACACTCACCTGCGTCAGATCGAGCAGATGGAGGTGGGTGTGTACTGTGTGTGTACTGTGTACTGTGTGTACTGTGTGTGTGTACTGTGTGTGTACTGTGTGTGGACGAGACACGGGGAATGTTGCTCGCCACAAAGAACACTCACCTGCGTCAGATCGAGCAGATGGAGGTGTGTGTGTACTGTGTGTGTACTGTGTGTGTACTGTGTGTACTGTGTGTGTACTGTGTGTGTGTACTGTGTGTGTGTACTGTGTGTGTACTGTGTGTGTACTGTGTGTACTGTGTGTGTACTGTGTGTGGATGAGACACGGGGAATGTTGCTCGCCACAAAGAACACTCACCTGCGTCAGATCGAGCAGATGGAGGTGTGTGTGTACTGTGTGTGTACTGTGTGTGTACTGTGTGTGTGTACTGTGTGTGTGTACTGTGTGTGTGTGTACTGTGTGTGTACTGTGTGTGTACTGTGTGTGGACGAGACACGGGGAATGTTGCTCGCCACGAAGAACACTCACCTGCGTCAGATCGAGCAGATGGAGGTGGGTGTACTGTGTGTGTACTGTGTACTGTGTGTACTGTGTGTGTGTACTGTGTGTGTACTGTGTGTGGATGAGACACGGGGAATGTTGCTCGCCACAAAGAACACTCACCTGCGTCAGATCGAGCAGATGGAGGTGTGTGTGTGTACTGTGTGTGTACTGTGTGTGTACTGTGTGTGTGTGTGTACTGTGTGTGTACTGTGTGTGTACTGTGTGTGGACGAGACACGGGGAATGTTGCTCGCCACGAAGAACACTCACCTGCGTCAGATCGAGCAGATGGAGGTGTGTGTGTACGGTGTGTGTACTGTGTGTGTGTACTGTGTGTGTGTGTACTGTGTGTGTACTGTGTGTGTACTGTGTGTACTGTGTGTGTACTGTGTGTGTACTGTGTGTACTGTGTGTGTGTACTGTGTGTGTACTGTGTGTGTACTGTGTGTACTGTGTGTGTATTGTGTGTGTACTGTGTATACTGTGTGTGTGTGTACTGTGTGTGGACGAGACACGGGGAATGTTGCTCGCCACAAAGAACACTCACCTGCGTCAGATCGAGCAGATGGAGGTGGGTGTACTGTGTGTGTACTGTGTACTGTGTGTACTGTGTGTGTGTGTACTGTGTGTGTACTGTGTGTGGATGAGACACGGGGAATGTTGCTCGCCACAAAGAACACTCACCTGCGTCAGATCGAGCAGATGGAGGTGGGTGTACTGTGTGTGTACTGTGTACTGTGTGTACTGTGTGTGTGTACTGTGTGTGTACTGTGTGTGGACGAGACACGGGGAATGTTGCTCGCCACAAAGAACACTCACCTGCGTCAGATCGAGCAGATGGAGGTGGGTGTACTGTGTGTGTACTGTGTACTGTGTGTACTGTGTGTGTACTGTGTGTGTACTGTGTGTGGACGAGACACGGGGAATGTTGCTCGCCACGAAGAACACTCACCTGCGTCAGATCGAGCAGATGGAGGTGGGTGTACTGTGTGTGTACTGTGTACTGTGTGTACTGTGTGTGTGTGTACTGTGTGTGTACTGTGTGTGGACGAGACACGGGGAATGTTGCTCGCCACAAAGAACACTCACCTGCGTCAGATCGAGCAGATGGAGGTGGGTGTACTGTGTGTGTACTGTGTGTGTGTACTGTGTGTGTGTACTGTGTGTGTACTGTGTGTGTGTACTGTGTGTACTGTGTGTGTGTACTGTGTGTGTACTGTGTGTATGTGTGTACTGTGTACTGTGTGTACTGTGTGTGTATACTGTGTGTGTATACTGTGTGTGTATACTGTGTGTGTACTGTGTGTGTGTGTACTGTGTGTGTACTGTGTGTGTGTACTGTGTGTGTGTACTGTGTGTGTACTGTGTGTGTGTACTGTGTGTACTGTGTGTGTACTGTGTGTGTACTGTGTGTGGACGAGACACGGGGAATGTTGCTCGCCACAAAGAACACTCACCTGCGTCAGATCGAGCAGATGGAGGTGTGTGTGTACTGTGTGTGTACTGTGTGTGTACTGTGTGTGTACTGTGTGTGTGTGTACTGTGTGTGTACTGTGTGTGTACTGTGTGTGTACTGTGTGTGGACGAGACACGGGGAATGTTGCTCGCCACGAAGAACACTCACCTGCGTCAGATCGAGCAGATGGAGGTGTGTGTGTACTGTGTGTGTACTGTGTGTGTACTGTGTGTGGACGAGACACGGGGAATGTTGCTCGCCACAAAGAACACTCACCTGCGTCAGATCGAGCAGATGGAGGTGGGTGTGTACTGTGTGTGTACTGTGTACTGTGTGTACTGTGTGTGTGTACTGTGTGTGTACTGTGTGTGGACGAGACACGGGGAATGTTGCTCGCCACAAAGAACACTCACCTGCGTCAGATCGAGCAGATGGAGGTGGGTGTACTGTGTGTGTGTACTGTGTACTGTGTGTACTGTGTGTGTGTGTACTGTGTGTGTACTGTGTGTGGATGAGACACGGGGAATGTTGCTCGCCACAAAGAACACTCACCTGCGTCAGATCGAGCAGATGGAGGTGTGTGTGTACTGTGTGTGTACTGTGTGTGTACTGTGTGTGTGTGTACTGTGTGTGTGTGTACTGTGTGTGTACTGTGTGTGTACTGTGTACTGTGTGTGTACTGTGTGTGTGTACTGTGTGTGTACTGTGTACTGTGTGTGTGTACTGTGTGTGTGTACTGTGTGTGTGTACTGTGTGTGTGTACTGTGTGTGTGTACTGTGTGTGTACTGTGTGTGTACTGTGTGTGTACTGTGTGTGTGTACTGTGTGTGTGTACTGTGTGTGTGTACTGTGTGTGTGTACTGTGTGTGTACTGTGTGTACTGTGTGTGTACTGTGTGTGGACGAGACACGGGGAATGTTGCTCGCCACGAAGAACACTCACCTGCGTCAGATCGAGCAGATGGAGGTGTGTGTGTACTGTGTGTGTGTACTGTGTGTGTACTGTGTGTGTACTGTGTGTACTGTGTGTGTACTGTGTGTGTGTACTGTGTGTGTACTGTGTGTGTGTACTGTGTGTGTACTGTGTGTGTACTGTGTGTGTACTGTGTGTGGACGAGACACGGGGAATGTTGCTCGCCACAAAGAACACTCACCTGCGTCAGATCGAGCAGATGGAGGTGTGTGTGTACTGTGTGTGTACTGTGTGTGTACTGTGTGTACTGTGTGTGTACTGTGTGTGTACTGTGTGTGTGTACTGTGTGTGTGTAGTGTGTGTACTGTGTATGTACTGTGTGTGTGTACTGTGTGTGTGTACTGTGTGTGTGTACTGTGTGTGTACTGTGTGTGTACTGTGTGTGGACGAGACACGGGAAATGTTGCTCGCCACAAAGAACACTCACCTGCGTCAGATCGAGCAGATGGAGGTGTGTGTGTACTGTGTGTGTACTGTGTGTGTACTGTGTGTGTACTGTGTGTGTGTACTGTGTGTGTGTGTACTGTGTGTGTGTACTGTGTGTGTGTACTGTGTGTACTGTGTGTGTACTGTGTGTGTGTACTGTGTGTGTGTACTGTGTGTGTGTACTGTGTGTGTGTAGTGTGTGTACTGTGTGTGTACTGTGTGTGTGTACTGTGTGTGTGTACTGTGTGTGTGTACTGTGTGTGTACTGTGTGTGTACTGTGTGTGGACGAGACACGGGGAATATTGCTCGCCACAAAGAGCACTCACCTGCGTCAGATCGAGCAGATGGAGGTGTGTGTGTACTGTGTGTGTGTACTGTGTGTGTACTGTGTGTGTGTACTGTGTGTGTGTACTGTGTGTGTACTGTGTGTACTGTGTGTGTACTGTGTGTGGACGAGACACGGGGAATGTTGCTCGCCACGAAGAACACTCACCTGCGTCAGATCGAGCAGATGGAGGTGTGTGTGTACTGTGTGTGTGTACTGTGTGTGTACTGTGTGTGTACTGTGTGTACTGTGTGTGTACTGTGTGTGTGTACTGTGTGTGTACTGTGTGTGTGTACTGTGTGTGTACTGTGTGTGTACTGTGTGTGGACGAGACACGGGGAATGTTGCTCGCCACAAAGAACACTCACCTGCGTCAGATCGAGCAGATGGAGGTGTGTGTGTACTGTGTGTGTACTGTGTGTGTACTGTGTGTACTGTGTGTGTACTGTGTGTGTACTGTGTGTGTGTACTGTGTGTGTGTAGTGTGTGTACTGTGTGTGTACTGTGTGTGTGTACTGTGTGTGTGTACTGTGTGTGTGTACTGTGTGTGTACTGTGTGTGTGTACTGTGTGTGTACTGTGTGTGTACTGTGTGTGGACGAGACACGGGAAATGTTGCTCGCCACAAAGAACACTCACCTGCGTCAGATCGAGCAGATGGAGGTGTGTGTGTACTGTGTGTGTACTGTGTGTGTACTGTGTGTGTACTGTGTGTGTGTGTACTGTGTGTGTGTGTACTGTGTGTGTGTACTGTGTGTGTGTACTGTGTGTACTGTGTGTGTACTGTGTGTGTGTACTGTGTGTGTGTACTGTGTGTGTGTACTGTGTGTGTGTACTGTGTGTGTACTGTGTGTGTACTGTGTGTGTGTACTGTGTGTGTGTACTGTGTGTATTGTGTGTATTGTGTGTGTACTGTGTGTGTGTACTGTGTGTGTGTACTGTGTGTGTACTGTGTGTGTGTACTGTGTGTGTACTGTGTGTGTGTACTGTGTGTGTGTACTGTGTGTGTGTACTGTGTGTACTGTGTGTGTACTGTGTGTGTACTGTGTGTGTGTACTGTGTGTGTGTACTGTGTGTGTGTACTGTGTGTATTGTGTGTATTGTGTGTGTACTGTGTGTGTGTACTGTGTGTGTGTACTGTGTGTGTACTGTGTGTGTGTACTGTGTGTGTACTGTGTGTGTGTACTGTGTGTGTACTGTGTACTGTGTGTGTACTGTGTGTGTGTACTGTGTGTGTACTGTGTGTGTACTGTGTGTACTGTGTGTGTATACTGTGTGTGTGTACTGTGTGTGTACTGTGTGTGTACTGTGTGTACTGTGTGTGTTGTGTGTGTGTGTGTACTGTGTGTGTACTGTGTACTGTGTGTGTGTACTGTGTGTACTGTGTGTGTGTACTGTGTGTACTGTGTGTGTACTGTGTGTGTACTGTGTGTACTGTGTGTACTGTGTGTGTGTACTGTGTGTGTGTGTACTGTGTGTGTACTTTGTGTGTGTGTACTGTGTGTGTACTGTGTGTGTACTCTGTGTGTACTGTGTGTACTGTGTACTGTGTGTGTACTGTGTGTGTACTGTGTGTGTGTACTGTGTGTACTGTGTGTGTACTGTGTGTGTGTACTGTGTGTACTGTGTGTACTGTGTGTGTGTACTGTGTGTGTGTACTGTGTGTGTACTGTGTGTACCGTGTGTGTGTACTGTGTGTGTGTACTGTGTGTGTACTGTGTGTGTACTGTGTGTGTGTACTGTGTGTGTGTACTGTGTGTGTGTACTGTGTGTGTGTACTGTGTGTGTACTGTGTGTGTGTACTGTGTGTGTACTGTGTGTGTGTACTGTGTGTACTGTGTGTGTGTGTACTGTGTGTGTACTGTGTGTGTGTACTGTGTGTGTGTACTGTGTGTGCTGTGTGTGTGTACTGTGTGTGTGTACTGTGTGTGCTGTGTGTGTACTGTGTGTGTACTGTGTGTGTGTGTACTGTGTGTGTGTACTGTGTGTACTGTGTGTGTGTACTGTGTGTACTGTGTGTGTACTGTGTGTGTGTGCTGTGTGTGTACTGTGTGTGTGTACTGTGTGTGTACTGTGTGTGTGTACTGTGTGTGTACTGTGTGTGTACTGTGTGTGTGTACTGTGTGTGTGTAGTGTGTGTGTACTGTGTGTGTGTACTGTGTGTGTGTACTGTGTGTACTGTGTGTGTGTGTATCTGTGTGTGTCTGTGTGTGTGTGTGTATCTGCGTGTGTGTATATATCCGTGTGTATCTGTGTGTGTATCTGCGTGTGTGTCTGTGTGTGTGTGCGTGTGTGTATATCTGCGTGTGTGTATATCTGCATGTGTGTGTATCTGTGTGTGTGTGTATGTGTGTGTATATCTGTGTGTGTGTGTATCTGTGTGTGTCTGTGTGTGTATATCCGTGTATGTGTGTGTCTGTGTGTGTGTCTGTGTGTATCTGCGTGTGTGTGTGTGTGTCTGTGTGTGTCTGTGTGTGTCTGTGTGTGTGTGTATCTGTGTGTGTATCTGCATGTGTGTGTGTATCTGTATGTGTGTGTGTGTGTCTCTGTGTGTATCTGCGTGTGTGTATCTGTGTATCTGTGTGTGTGTATATCTGCATGTGTGTGTCTGTGTGTATCTGTGTGTGTATATCTGTGTGTGTGTATCTGTATGTGTGTGTGTGTGTCTCCGTGTATCTGTGTGTGTGTCTGTGTGTATATCTGCCTGTGTCTCTGTGTGTGTGTGTGTCTGTGTGTGTATCTGTGTGTGTGTCTGTGTGTGTGTCTGTGTGTGTGTGTATCTGTTGTATCTGTGTGTGTGTGTATGTGTGTGTATATCTGCGTGTGTGTGTGTGTATATCTTTGTCACTAGGGAGACAAAGGCGGTCGGGCGTGGTGCTGGCCACCCACCCCCTCGTGTACCGTTCCGGCCTTCATAGGTGCTCGCTAACAGCACTTGCCCCTACAGTCTGTTACAGGCTATATGGGGGATCTTTGTCTTTGTGTATATCTGCATGTGTGTGTATCTGTGTGTGTGTGTATCTGTATCTGCATGTGTGTATCTGTGTATCTGTGTGTGTGTGTATCTGCGTGTGTGTGTATCTGTGTGTGTGTGTGTATCTGTGTGTATCTGTGTGTGTGTCTGTGTGTATCTGCGTGTGTGTGTGTGTCTGTGTGTGTCTGTGTGTGTCTGTGTGTGTATCTGTGTGTGTATCTGTGTGTGTGTATATCTGCATGTGTGTCTGTGTGTATCTGCATGTGTGTGTCTGTGTGTGTGTGTCTGTGTGTATCTGTCTGCCTGTGTGTGTGTGTAGAGTGATGAGTTGGGTCTCCAGAAGAAGCTCCGCACAGAGGTGATTCAGCTGGAGGACACCCTGGCGCAGGTGCGCAAGGAGTACGAGATGCTGCGTATCGAGTTCGAGCAAAACCTCGCGGCCAACGAGCAAGCGGGTAGGCACGGGTACACACACACGGGTACACACGGGTACACACGGGTACACACGGGTACACACAGGTACACACACACACACACGGGTACACACACACACACTGGTACACACACACGGGTACACACACACACACACACGGGTACACACAGGTACACACACGGGTACACACACACACAGGTACACACACACGGGTACACACGGGTACACACACACGGGTACACACACACACGGGTACACACACACGGGTACACACGGGTACACACATACACACACAGGTACACACGGGTACACACAGGTACACACACACGGGTACACACACACGGGTACACACACGGGTACACACACGGGTACACACACGGGTACACACACGGGTACACACACGGGTACACACACGGGTACACACACGGGTACACACACGCACACACACGGGTACACACACGGGTACACACAGGTACAGGTACACACACAGGTACACACACACACGGGTACACACACGGGTACACACAGGTACACACACAGGTACACACACACACACGGGTACACACACACACGGGTACACACACATGGACACACACACACACATGGCACATGGGTACACGCACATGGACACACAGACACAGGTATACACACACACAGGTACACACAAAGACAAAGACAAAGATCCCCCGTATAGCCTTAACAGACTGTAGGGGCAAGTGCTGTTAGCGAGCACCTATGAAGGCCGGAACGGTACACGAGGGGGTGGGTGGCCAGCACCACGCCCGACCGCCTTTGTCTCCCTAGTGACGATGTTTACACACCGCACCAGGTACTCATTTGAGGCTGAGTCGACCTAGGGGAGGCCCGGGACCGGTTCAGATAATCGTCACTGGTGTTGGCCGTGAGCAGGAATCGAACCCGGGTCGCCAGGTTCATAGCGCAGCGCGCTAACCGCTACACTACCGCTCTACACACACACACAGGTACACACACACACACAGGTACACACACACACAGGTACACACACACACGGGTACACACACACACAGGTACACACACAGACAGGTACACACACACACACAGGTACACACACACACACAGGTACACACACACACGGGTACACACACACACACAGGTACACACACACACAGGTACACACACACACACAGGTACACACACACACACAGGTACACACACACACGGGTACACACACACACACAGGTACACACACACACAGGTACACACACACAGGTACACACACACACACAGGTACACACACACACGGGTACACACACACAGGTACACACACACAGGTACACACACAGGTACACACACACACAGGTACACACACACAGGTACACACAAACAGGTACACACACACACTGGTACACACACTGGTACACACACACACAGGTACACACACACAGGTACACACACACGTACACACACACGGGTACACACACTCAGGTACACACACACACACACAGGTACACACACAGGTACACACACACACAGGTACACACACACAGGTACACACAAACAGGTACACACACACAGGTACACACACACAGGTACACACACACAGGTACACACACACACAGGTACACACACTGGTACACACACACACACACAGGTACACACACTGGTATACACACACAGGTACACACACACACACAGGTACACACACACACACTGGTACACACACAGGTACACACACACACACACAGGTACACACACAGGTATACACACACACAGGTACACACACACATAGATACACACACACAGGTACACACACACAGGTACACACACACACAGGTACACACACAGGTACACACACAGGTACACACACACACACACAAGTACACACACACACAGGTACACACACAGGTACACACACAGGTACACACACACACAGATACACACACACACAACCAGGTACACACACTGGTACACACACACACAGGTACACACACAGGTAGTCAACATCTCATCAGGGTCGGGATCGAACCTTGCTCGACCAATCAGCTCGTTCCCCTGCAGGCTACGCTCGTGACCGCCCCCCCCCCCCCTCGTGCCCCCCCCCCCCACGTGACCCCCCCCCCCCCCCCACGTGACCCCCCCCAGGCCCCATCAACAGAGAGATGCGCCATCTCATCAGCAGCCTGCAGAACCACAACCACCAGCTGAAGGGGGAGCTGCAGCGCTACAAACGCAAGCTGCGGGAAGCCTCCTCCGACATCGCCAAGGTGCCCTGAGACCCACACGGAGACCCACAGAGACTCACAGAGACCCACAGAGATTCACAGAGATTCACAGAGACACGCAGATACTCACAGAGGCCCACAGAGACTCGCAGAGACTCACAGAGACTCACAGAGACTCACAGAGACCCACAGAGACTCACAGAGACTCACAGAGACCCACAGAGACCCACAGAGATTCACAGAGATTCACAGAGACACGCAGATACTCACAGAGGCCCACAGAGACTCGCAGAGACTCACAGAGACTCACAGAGACTCACAGAGACCCACAGAGACTCACAGAGACTCACAGAGATTCACAGAGACTCACAGAGACTCACAGAGACTCACAGAGATTCACACAGAGACTCAGAGACCCACACGGAGACTCACAGAGATTCACAGAGATTCACAGAGACACCCAGAGATTCACACAGAGATTCACACAGAGACTCACAGAGACTCACAGAGATTCACAGAGACTCACAGAGACTCGCAGAGACTCGCAGAGACTCGCAGAGACTCGCAGAGACTCGCAGAGACTCACAGAGAAACACAGAGACTCACAGAGACTCACAGAGAAACACAGAGACCCACAGAGACACACAGAGACCCACAGAGACACGCAGAGACTCAGAGACACACACAGAGACACGCAGAGACTCACAGAGACTCACAGAGACCCACAGAGACTCCCAGAGACTCACAGAGACACACACAGACACACAGAGACTCACAGAAGCTCACAGAGACCCACAGAGACCCACAGAGACCCGCAGAGACTCACAGAGACCCACAGAGATTCACAGAGATTCACAGAGACACGCAGATACTCACAGAGGCCCACAGAGACTCGCAGAGACTCACAGAGACTCACAGAGACTCACAGAGACCCACAGAGACTCACAGAGACTCACAGAGACCCACAGAGACTCACAGAGATTCACAGAGACTCACAGAGACTCACAGAGACTCACAGACACACACAGAGACACGCAGAGACTCAATGAGACTCACAGAGACCCACAGAGACACGCAGAGACCCACAGAGACCCACAGAGATCCACAGAGACTCACAGAGACTCACAGAGACCCACAGAGACTCACACAGACTCACAGAGATTCACAGAGATTCACAGAGACTCAGAGACCCACACGGAGACTCACAGAGACTCACAGAGACTCACAGAGATTCACACAGAGACTCAGAGACCCACACGGAGACTCACAGAGATTCACAGAGATTCACAGAGACACGCAGAGATTCACACAGAGATTCACACAGAGACTCACAGAGACTCACAGAGATTCACAGAGACTCACAGAGACTCGCAGAGACTCGCAGAGACTCGCAGAGACTCGCAGAGACTCACAGAGACCCACAGAGACTCACAGAGAATCACAGAGACTCATAGAGACTCAAAGAGACTCACAGAGACTCGCAGAGACTCACAGAGACTCACAGAGACTCACAGAGGCCCACAGAGACTCGCAGAGACTCACAGAGATTCACAGAGACTCACAGAGACCCACAGAGATTCACAGAGACTCACAGAGACACACAGAGACTCGCAGAGACTCACAGAGATTCACAGAGACTCACAGAGACCCACAGAGATTCACAGAGACTCACAGAGACACACAGAGACTCACAGTGACCCACAAAGACTCAGAGACCCACAGTGACCCACAGAGACTCACAGAGGCCCACAGAGACTCACAGAGACCCACAGAGATTCACAGAGACTCACAGAGACACGCAGAGACTCACAGAGACTCACAGAGATTCACAGAGACTCACAGAGACTCACAGAGACCCACACAGACTCACAGAGACTCACAGAGACTCACAGAGACCCACACAGACTCACAGAGACTCACAAAGACCCACAGAGATTCACAGAGACTCGCAGAGATTCACAGAGACACACAGAGACTCACAGAGACCCACAGAGACTCACAGAGACCCACAGAGACTCACAGAGACTCACAGAGACACACACAGACAAGCAGAGACTCACAGAGACCCACAGAGACCCACAGAGACACGCAGACACCCACAGAGACTCACAGAGACCCACAGAGACCCACAGAGACCCACAGAGACTCACAGAGACCCACACAGACTCACAGAGACCCACAGAAACTCACAGAGACCCACAGTGACCCACAAAGACTCAGAGACCCACAGTGACCCACAGAGACTCACAGTGACCCACAGAGACCCACAGAGACTCACAGAGCTCACAGAGATCCACAAAGACTCACAGAGACTCACAGAGACTCACAGAGACCCACACAGACTCACAGAGACCCACAGAGACTCACAGAGACTCACAGAGACACGCAGAGACTCACAGAGACTCAGAGAGACTCAGAGAGACTCACAGAGACCCACAGAGATTCACAGAGACCCACACAGACTCACAGAGACTCACAGAGACCCACAGAGATTCACAGAGACTCGCAGAGACTCACAGAGACCCACAGAGACTCACAGAGACTCACGGAGACACGCAGAGACTCACAGAGACCCACAGATACTCACAGAGACCCACAGAGACCCACAGAGACCCACAGAGACCCACAGAGACTCAGAGAGACTCACAGAGACCCACAGAGATTCACAGAGACCCACACAGACTCACAGAGACTCACAGAGACTCACAGAGACCCACAGAGATTCACAGAGACTCACAGAGACACGCAGAGACTCACAGAGACCCACAGAGACTCGCAGAGACTCACAGAGACCCACAGAGACTCACAGAGACCCACAGAGACTCACAGAGACACGCAGAGACTCACAGAGACTCACAGAGACACGCAGAGACAGGCATAGACTCACAGAGACACACAGAGACCCACAGAGACCCACAGAGACTCACAGAGACCCACAGAGACCCACAGAGACCTGCAGAGACTCACAGAGACCCACAGAGACCCACAGAGACCAACAGCGACTCAAAGAGACCCACAGAGACTCAGAGACTCACAGAGACCCACAGAGACTCACAGAGACTCACAGAGACTCACAGAGACTCACAGAGACACGCAGAGACTCGCAGAGACTCACAGAGACTCACAGAGACCCACAGAGACCCACACAGACTCACAGAGACACACAGAGATTCACAGAGGCCCACAGAGATTCACAGAGATTCACAGAGACACGCAGAGACTCACAGAGGCCCACAGAGATTCGCAGAGACTCACAGAGACCCACAGAGACCCACAGAGACTCGCAGAGATTCACAGAGACAAGCAGAGACCCACACGGACTCACAGAGACTCACAGAGACTCACAAAGATTCACAGAGATTCACAGAGACACGCAGAGACTCACAGAGGCCCACAGAGACTCGCAGAGACTCACAGAGACCCACAGAGACTCACAAAGACCCACAGAGATTCACAGAGACTCGCAGAGATTCACAGAGACACACAGAGACTCACAGAGACCCACAGAGACTCACAGAGACCCACAGAGACTCACAGAGACTCACAGAGACCCACAGAGACTCACAGAGACTCACAGAGACACACACAGACTCGCAGAGACTCACAGAGACTCACAGAGACCCACAGAGACCCACACAGACTCACAGAGACCCACAGAGACCCACAGAAACCCACAGAGACTCACAGAGACCCACAGAGACTCACAGAGACCCACAGAGACTCACAGAGACCCACAGAGACCCACAGTGACCCACAGCGACCCACAGAGACCCACAGACTCACAGTGACCCACAAAGACTCACAGAGACTCACAGAGACCCGCAGAGACTCACAGAGACCCACAGAGACTCACAGAGATCCGCATAGACTCACAGAGACTCACAGAGACCCACAGAGACTCACAGAGACTCACAGAGACCCACAGAGGCTCACAGAGACTCACAGAGACCCACAGAGACCCGCAGAGACCCACAGAGACTCACAGAGACCCACAGTGACCCACAAAGACTCACAGAGACCCACAGTGACCCACAAAGACTCACAGAGACCCGCAGAGACTCACAGAGACTCACAGAGACCCACAGAGACCCACAGAGACCCACAGAGACCCACAGTGACTCACAGTGACCCACAGAGACCCACAGAGACCCACAGACTCACAGTGACCCACAAAGACTCACAGAGACCCACAGTGACTCACAGAGACCCACAGAGACCCACAGAGACCCACAGAGACCCACAGAGACCCACAGAGACCCACAGAGACCCACAGTGACTCACAGAGACCCACAGAGACCCACAGAGACCCACAGAGACCGACAGAGACCCACAGAGACTCACAGAGACTCACAGAGACCCACAGAGACTCATAGACCCACAGAGACTCACAGAGACCCACAGACTCACAGAAACCCACAGAGACCCACAGAGACCCACAGTGACTGACAGAGACCCACAGAGACCTACAGAGACCCCAGAGACCCACAGAGACTCACAGAGACCCACAGTGACTCACAGAGACCCGCAGAGACCCCCAGAGACCCATAGAGACCCACAGAGACTCACAGAGACACACACAGACTCACAGAGACACACACAGACTCGCAGAGACCCACAGAGACTCACAGAGACTCACAGAGACCCACAGAGACCCACACAGACCCACAGAGACTCACAGAGACTCACAGAGACCCACAGAGACTCGCAGAGACTCACAGAGACCCACAAAGACTCACAGAGACCCACAGAGGCTCACAGAGACTCACAGAGACTCGCAGAGACTCACAGAGACTCACAGAGACCCACAGTGACCCACAGAGACTCACAGTGACCCATAGAGACTCAGAGACCCACAGTGACCCACTGAGACTCACAGAGACCCACAGTGACTCACAGAGACTCACAGAGACTCACAGAGACCCACAGAGACTCACAGAGACCCACAGAGACCGACAGAGACCCACAGAGACCCACAGAGACTCACAGAGACTCTCAGAGACTCACAGAGACTCACAGAGACACGCAGAGACTCACAGAGACCC